ATTTTGTTAATCTTTTGAAGAAAAGTCGCTTTTTTAAAAATCCATATACTAGGTGTTCTATAGAATTAAGGGCAGTTTTATTTCTTTTCACTTTTAGCTTTGTCTATTTACTACAGTCTTTTAATGAAAATTTATATATTTATCAAGCAGATGTCTTAATTTATTTTTTTACCATTTCTGCCTTACCTACGTAGTCTTTGGATGAAAAATTTTATATTTACTAACCAGATGCCTTTTTGGAAGTTTGGAACAAACTTTTCTTATTCTTTTCTCGAACGGGGCCTACTCTTTTTTGAAAAACATTCTCATCATACTTTTATATACAGGGTGTTTAAAAATCAAAGTACAGGGTGTTTATCTACTAACCAGCGAGGAAAACACCGCGGAGCGGTGCTCGGGCTGCGCGCAGCGCGGCCCGAGGGCCGAAGGCCCGAGAGAAAGGTCAAACTCCGCGTCAGCGGAGTTTGCCTGCCTTTCTAGTAGATACTTAATTTATGAAAAAGTAAGGATTGTTTGTTATACAGGGTGATTCACAAATGGTGACCAAAATTGAAACTTTGTATTCTTTGGTGAATTTTAAGGGTAGTCTTTCCTATAAAGTTGTTTTATATAGGACGCTTCGTTAAAAAGATACAGGGTGTTAAACTTCAAAAAATATTTTTAATTTTTTTAAATAATTTAAAAACTAGTTAGATTTATAAAATTTGTATGCTTTTACTCCTTACTCTGCGTACTGAGTGCAAAAGTGCAAATAAGTTGATAACGCTATAATATGTTTATTAGGTCCGTTCAAACAAGGAATTATTGGTTCAGAAGCAGTAATAAAATATTGTGTACGCATGTGCTTGATAAGTACTGATTATGAAATCGTGTTAGAACAGATTACGAACTATCACATGTCTGTCGTATGTCAAGTTAATTGAGTGCCTAAGAATATCGAAATCCTCTTCTTCGTTCGACTCAGAAGCCGGGATTATGCCCAAATAGGTAAGTCTCTCTTTTACTTTATCAGGTATTTACTTGTGCTCTATTTTTGAACATTATTTTTTAAAAGCAGAAATGCAAAGAAGCACCGCGCTCCCCGCCATTGAAATCACACTTGACATGGAGGCAACAATCCTGCCATTAGAGACAGACATTAAAAACGCACTTACACTAACTACGACAGAGAAAATTAACACCCTCCAATCCACGGCAGCAGGGAGGTGGTTTACACGAACTAGGAAAAGGTCGCGTGCAAGCTGGATCAACTTTAAATGGCTTTTTGCCGCTTGTCCCCACACCGCGGAGGCGTAGGTTAGCTGCGGTTGAAGTACC